CTCAGATCATCCATAGTCAATTCGCCGGGTATCTCACTCATCCCGATTAATTTTTGACGGCGAGGCATGACGCAAATTCCTGCAACAAAACAAATCGCAAACCCAAGAGCAAGGCAAGAAATTTTGGTACTCACCAAAATAAAATAACAAGGCTGGGAGAATTATGGATTCAAAGAGAGTAAGAGTCTTTTGGCTCCTAGAAGGAAATAAGAAGAAGAAGAGTCGAAAATGGGAATCCCCCCTCAATCTGCCTTTAAATAAGGGGAGATGATGGAGAAAGGCTAGGAGACGGGTGCCAAAAAGACGTGCCCCATCAATAGGTGCACGTCAATTCAAACCGGCGATCAAGGTCCATCGCGACCGTTTGTGTCGAAGGGGCGGGAAACCATGTATACCGTCGGATCATGGGGCACCCCTCCTCCTGCTCGGAAGTCCAAACCAAGCAGACTGAGGCCCAATTCCACGGGCTGAGTTTACTAAAAGGCTATGCACAGGCCACCCTCTGGGCAGCTTAGACCTTTAGTAGGGCAATTGATGGGGCAATTAAGCCATTGCCTCATTGGGCCTTATTTAAATTGGCCCAGGCACCAAATAAAAGGAGCACCCATGTGCAAGGAAATATTCATTTATTCTCTTTTTGGGTCTATAAAAGGAGCACCCCAAGGCATTTATTTCTGATGTGATTCTCTCTCTACATGGCATTTAGTAGTTTCTCTTTCTCTCTCTAAGACTTTTAACTTAGGCATTGGAATGCTGACCCTATTTTTTAGAGAATTTTGGAGATTATTAGCATTCACTCATGGACCGGCTCAGGGACGCTCCATCAGTGCTCCAGCATCCAAATAGTTTAATAGCTCATTCATCGCGTTGTCCCCTGATTGAAATTCTTTCCTCTTGTTTTGGCCGCCAAGATTTCTTCATTTGCTCTATCTTCGGTTGTTGCTGCTTTCTTGCTTCTATCTCAGATTGTCCTTCACCGGCATCCATATCCATAATTTGTGGATAACTTTCTTGCCTTCACTGGCCCTCTTCAGTCGCACATTGACTATAGTCCTAGAATCTCTTTTCGTTACAATCATCTGCGGTGGAGAAGAGAACACATTTACAAAGAATTAAAAAAAAACCAGAATGCACGTGTGTCACCCGTTTAAATTTAGACTCATTTGAAAATTGAGAAAATGTAGAAAATTGCCACGTAGATTAAATCCTAGTGGCAAGTAAAAAACAATATCAATTTTCTCTCTCTGGATTTTTTTTTTGTAAGTTATTTAGATAAAATAAAATAAAATACTTAAAAATTTTTTTGTAGTATTTTTGTAAATAAGTAAAGGTGTGGAATCAAACCAACCCCGTCCCTCTGTCACTTTTGACAAGTTTGCTTTTGTTCTTTAGAGAAAATATCTTGAATTCGACATCTTACTCTATTATAAAAAATAAGGTTTCTCCCTCTAGTTTTGGATGGACATCTCTATATTCCTGATTTTCTATTTGAGATTGTCACCCTGAATGTGTTTAGAGTGATTCACATCTTCTATGATTTGTAGGGTGGAGGTGATTTATCTTCTTGTGTACTCTTCGGACCATTACAGTGAGTGTGAGTACCGTGCATCACTTAAAAAAAGACAAAGTATATTAGAAAAAAAAAGTACATGTTGATTGAAGTCGTTACCAGTATACGTTTGAATGCAATTTAAACAGGTACAATAGTTTATTCACGAGATTATCTGAAGTTTTTTTTTTCGGAGTTTCAATGAATTTTATGAAATAATAGTTATAGAAATTTAGAAACTAAATATTGAAGGAAACAAAGACACTAAATCACGCACATTACAAACATTAACATGATTGTCTACTTAATTTTATATATATATATATATATATATATGTATATATGTGTGTGTGTGTGTGCGCGTTTTGAATATGTGTGATTTTTTTTAACACCTTACTCAATTTCATTTGATTAGATCCATATACCATAGAACTCCATATCAGAATATGAGAACTATATGAAAGCGAAATCATACCTTAATCCGTAGAACATAGATTTGGATTTGGTCTTCCAGATACTTCCGCCAAGCCATTACGGGAATCTCTAACAAAGAGAGAATCAAATATCTAGCATGACGACTCATCCAGAGACCATAACCAATATATAATAGGGACCACACTTAAAAAAACGTTGTAAGCCCAAATGTTTAACCGTGATTAGATCACTTAAACTGCGCTAACACCTTAAGAAAGTCCAAACCAAAAAGATCTTACACAGCTTTCTATAAAGCAATTATCATTTGCCATAGTAGGTTACGAGCTGGTGATACTTTAGGTTAACTCTCATTAATCAATTATATATCAACATATGTCTAAAGCGTGAAATCTTTTCACATAAGAGTGTGATTTATGAAAGCTAAAACAACTAAGATAAAATTTATGTAGGAGGGATTCTTATGATTAGGGGATGTTATTACTTCAATTTTAATTAGACGTTTACCAGTTTATTTGAAAAAATCAATATATTACTATACTATTAAAATAACCGTCTGTGAGAATATATTTGCTAATGCGTCGCGTTGCAGTGCAAAATTTTCCCGCCAAAAACAAGATGCCTTTTTATGGCAAAAATAATGAGTTCATTGTACAAGATATAAAATTATTATAAAAATCACCTCCACGATGCATAAATTAATTTACATTAAATGTAATGCAACATTCAATATCTTTCAAAATATAGTTTAGATATCTATATTGAAAAAAGGTAACACCATAATCATTCAACTTAACCTTCCAAATTTGATCTGAAAATTTTTGACTAATTATTTCAATCATGTTAATTTATTAAAAAATAAACTTATTTTCATAATTATATAAATATGGTAACTAAAAGAAATGTGTTGTCAAAGGTGAAAATGTTGGTAGTTTGTTGCATTCTCATACTACATTTTCCGGCTCTAAAAAAACATTGTTTATGGTTTAAAAAAAAGAAAGAAAGAAGGTCAAAATTACATGGGTTAAAATTATGTTATAAATCAATATAAAAAACTACAGTATATAATCATTATTACCATAATGTCATTTCAGTTCAAGTTAATAATTATAGATTAATTTATTAAAAGAAATGACTTCATTTATAGCCCAAAAAAAATAAAATAAAATGAAACCGCACAGTTCAAACTTGCAAAATAAATAAAGTAAAAGATTTTTATTATAGTCAAACTCAATGACCCAAATGTCAAAAGATACTTCATATTAATAAAACAAAATTAATAACCACATATATACCTCTAAAAGTAACGACCCTGTTTATGATCAGAAAAATATAAAGAGCTAAAACTGCAAGGGTTTAGATTTCAAGAAAACCAAAATGGAACACTCTTATCATATTGAAATTCAATAATATTAATATCACATATAGTTCTTTATCCAAGCAAACTTAATAACCACAACAACCCTATTTAAAGCTCATGCATTTGCCAAATAAAAAAAAAATCATAAACCATTCCAAATCATATCAATGCCGATTTTAAACTCAAATTGTTTCTACTCATATATATATATATATATATATATATATATATATATATATATAAACATCAATAATAAAAAATCTGTAAATTGAAATGATTGAAAACAAATATTTATATAGCGTAGCCATAACTTTGCACATTTACATATTACTTTAAAATTTAAATATATTGAACAGTTATAGTTTCATGAAGACTAATATTGCACAATTGATATGCAATCATTTTGTGTAAACGCGTTAATCATTGGTAAATTTTGTATTAAATATTTCTAATTGTGGAATGTTAATAAATATTCATAGGTTTACCTACAATATTAAAAAAAAAGAAAAAGGAAAGAAAGACGGGACTAGTAACTACATTGGTCCATTTTAAAAACAATCAAAAAAAAATTTAATACCTAATTGTATAAATTTTAGAATTTAATTCAATTAGGATTCAATTTACGTAAAAGATTTAGAATATATCACTTATTTCACCTTTTTAAATTTAAATTTAAAATTTGCTTAATATGCATATATTCTGTGTCACCGGTTTGCTTTATAGATTTGACCAAAAAAAAAAAAAAAGCCGATGACGTGATATAATTTTGCATTTAAGTTCTGACTTAATAAAAAATTTCTCGGCATATCCCCGTGCAATGCACGTGCACGAACCTTGTAATAAATAAAGCAACATTCTTAATTCATAAATTAAAGCAAAAACAAGAATGGTGAAACATATTAAAAGAAAGAAGTAAAAAAGTTTTCAGTGTTTTATTTTTGTAACAACAATTGTCTTGTACTCCCTCCATTTGAAAATAGATGTCGCTGGAGGAGTTTCACAAAGTTTAAGGAGACATTAAATATTTGGTTAAAATACTAAACTACCCTCATTTGTTCTCAATACAATTCCATTCCCAATATCATATAGTTCTTATACACTTTTACTTTAAATACAATTATAATTTCCCATATAAGGGTAATGTTGGAAGAAATTGACAAAATATGCCTAGATATGCGAAAACGACATCTATTTTGAAAAAAATTGGTTTTCCTCCAACGACATATATTTTGGAATGAAGGGAGTACTTGACAATTTCTTTTGTATATTTTAGTTTGTATATTTTATTTTACATTATTTCTGAACCATTTTCTTCTAGAAGTTTCCCATCCGTCATTATTTCGTTGACTCACATGATGGACGACATATTAGGTCAAAATAAACTGTCAAAACTAGGTAATTAAATACATAACAATGATTTAGTTACTAAATTGTGTTGTAAACGTACTTGACTGTATCTGATAAAAGATTTTAATTGAATATACATAGTGGTTTCTGACTTTGATAGTTTTCCATATAATCCGCAACAGTTCTTTTTTCTAAAACATACTACTACTCCATTTTTATTTCATTTAATCCATCTTTTGTGATGAAACCATGTCAACCAAAAAGTCGAGCAAAGGTCATCAAAAGATCGACATGGTGAAAATATAAAATGAGAACCATTTACAAGTAACTTTCTCAAAACGTCGTGCTGGTCTTTTTAAAAAAGCCAGTGAATTTTGTACTTTAACAGGGTCAGAACCTGCAATTGTAGTTTTTTCTCCGGGCGACAAAGCTTACTCATTCAGTTGTCCGGGTGTGAGTGAAGTCATAGAAAAGTATGAAAATGAACCATCACATTTATCAACAGTTCAAGTACAGTAGAAGAGGTGCATCATAGGGCTAATATAATAAGGGTCAATAATGAGTTTGAGGCACTAAAAGCTCAGTTAGACGATGCTAAAAAAAGAGCGACAAATTTGCAAAGATTGTAGAAGCCACTTCAAAGTGTTATTGGTGGCAAGTCCCTTTTAATGAGCTTAATATAGAACAACTGGAGTGCTTGAAATTCGCCTATGAGGAATTAGACAAGAAAGTTCAACTTCGGGCAACGGTTCCTGGACTTTTTGCAGATTCGATTTCTTTCGATAATCAAAATGCATCAGGATTTGGTAGAGTTAATAGTTCGCAATCTGATAAATTCTTCAACAACGGGGCCTATAGTGATTAATAGCTTTGAAATCTAAATTTACTTAGGTTTATGTTGGTTTTTGTGCATTTGGTGTTCTTTCTTTCCTTATGATGTCATGAATGGCTAGGAATTTATTTACATTAAGAACATTACAACTTTCTTTTTAGTGTTTCTTCCCTTTTTTAAGTATTGGAAATTGTGATTGTTTTCAATTTATTAACATATTCTATTGCTGCAAGTTAAAGGAACTTTTAATGTTTTAGTTTTTTGTCATTGCCACTGTATCTTTGTTGTGTCAGTGAAAATATTTCTTTTTTTTTGTTCAATTATTTTAATCTAACAACAAAGGTAAATAAGTATTTTCATATGCAAATCGTGTCGGTAACCATCCATTGTATTTATGTATCACCGTATCGGTATCATTTTTTAATTTCTGTGAATGAGCATACTGTTATTGTTATTTTTAGTTCTATTGAAAAGTTTAATTGAACCCGGTAGTCCAAATTATGGACAAGTCAGCCATAACTATTATAGATAATCAACGAGCGTCTAAAGAAAGAAAAGAAATAAATCTGTTGAATTTTAAGAAAAAACTGAGTCTCATTTTTAACATATATGAGCACCATTTACGCCCAAAAAAATGATTTTCAGATAATTAATTAAGGATTTTAAATACTAAAAGTACTCTCCATTGACGAGAAGAATTAAAATGCTATATAGTACTGTATGCTATTCAAACTATAAAGAGGTCTTTAACAAACTAATATATTGCATCAAATATATTTTTAGAATTAGTTCAAATGTTTGTCTAAAGTAGTAATAAGTGAAAACATGTTTTGACATGGATCAACATAGTCATAACTTTTTTTTTAACAACTAGGTAAAATAACATAGTCATAACTTTTACAACTAGGTGCGAGATTATAAATAACTAGATGTTACACCTGTACGATGCACGTGGCTAGAATTTCTTTTACCAAGTAGTATTTTGTATAATTTAAAATAAACTTATTTTATGATTTTTCATCAAAAATACAATACATAAAAATAGCAGATTTATACATTACTTAGTTATGTTAATGTTCTCTCAATTTATTACTCCCTCTGTCCAAAAATTGTTGTCCAGTATGAGATCATATCATTTTTTAATAAAATTTCAACTAAAAATGAAAATCTAAATTGGAAATGAAAATTCAAATTGGACAATAATTTTAGGACGTAGGAAATATATTTTAATTATTTTATCCGTTTTTATTCATTGATTTTAAATATTTTGCACTGATGTAACACATTGTTTTGCCTAAGTTCAGAAACATAATGGGGAACATATCTTTCTTTTTCTCCTTCTTAATAATATTGTTATTCAACTCTTGCCTTAATGTTACGTTGTTAACCATTTATGATGATTCTCACCACATATAAAAGTTGCAGTATGCAATGACTTGAAATTACGGCCAGATTGTATTTTATGTTTATTTTTTTATTTGCCCAGGGTTCTACTGCATCCACAAAAAAAGCAAAAAAAAAAAAAAAGAAGAAAAACATCAATTAGCAATTATGATTTAAAAATAGGCAATTTATCCAGTATACCCGGGGACACCGTTCCCCCCTCCTATTTTTTGTATTTCTAGTCCTTATTATACTTTTTTTTTATCAATCTTTCTATATTTTGCAAGTTTAGTCCCTGTCATTTTTTCTCTCTCTTCCAAAAAAAAAACATCTCTAATCTTTCAACGAGCATATCTCCCAATCCGTGAAGAATTTGTGGACGAATTATATATGAAATTTATAGTACTCGTCGAGATCTATCCAACAAAATCCATAGTGAATATTTTTTCGGGCTTAAAAATGACTTAATTCTGATGGATAGAATAGGGGTGGATATCCAGTTTTACAAGATGGATAACCAACTTGTTGTAAATTGGTTATCCATTGTGTTCATGCTGATTATCCAATTAGTTTGAACTGGTTATCCATTTTGTTTCTACTGCTTATCCATTTGGTTATCCAACTTCTTAATTCAAAATAAGTTGGTTATCCATCTTCTTAAACTGGATATCCAATGTGTTCATATTGATTATCCAATGCGCTAATACTGGTTATCCAATAGATTTACATGCTTATCCAAATTATTTGTACTGGTTATCCACTGTGTTCATGCTAATTATCTAACTTGTTTGTACTGGATATCCATCCAATTGGTTTGTATGCATATCCAACTCTAATCTTTCAAATTCATATATATATATATATATATATATATATATATAAACATCAATAATAAAAAATCAGTAAATTGAAATGATCAAAAACAAATATTTATATATCGTAACCATAACTTTGCACATTTACATATTACTTTCAAATCTAAATATATTGCACAATTATAGTTTCATGAACACTAATATTGCGCAATTGATATGTAATCATTTTGTGTAAATGCGTTAATCATTGGTAAGGTAAACTTTGTATAAAATATTTCTAATTGTGGAATGTTAATACATATTCATAGGTTTAACTACAATATAAAAAAAAAAAAAGAAAAAGAAAAAGGGAAGAAAGACGGGACTGGATACTACATTGGTCCATTTTAAAAACAATCAAAAAAATTTAATACCAAATTGTATAAATTCTTAGAAATTAATTCAATTAGGATTCAATTTATGTAAAAATTTTTTTAGAATATATCACTTATTTCACCTTTTTAAATTTAAATTTTAAATTTTCTTAATATGCTTAATTTCTGTGTCACCCGTTCGCTTTATGTTTTTGACCAAAATAAAAAGAAAAAAGCCAATGACGTGATATAATTTTGCATTTATGTTCTGACTTAATAAAAACATTTCTCGACATATCCCCGTGCAATGCACGTGCAGGAACCTAGTAAATAAATAAAGCTACATTCTTAATTTATAAATTAAAGAAAAAGTAAGAATGGTACAACATATTAAAAGAAAGAAGTAAAAACGTTTTCACAGTGTTTTATTTTTGTAACAACAATTGTCTTGTACTTGACAATTTATTTTACATCATTTCTGGACCATTTTATTCTAGAAGTTTCCGCTCCACCATTATTTCATTGACTGACATGATGGACGACATATTAGGTCAAAATCAACTGGCAAAACAAGGTAATTGAATACATAACAATGATTTAGTTACTAAATTGTGTTGTAAACGTACTTGACTGTATCTGATAAAAGATTTTAATTGAATATACATAATGGTTTATGACTTTGATATTTTGTTATATAATCCGCAATAGTTCTTTTTTCTAAAACATACTACTACTCCATTTTTATTTCATTCAATCCATCTTTTGTGACGAAACCATGTCCACCAAAAAGTTGAGCAAAGGTCGTCAAAAGATCGACATGGTGAAAATAAAAAATGAGAGCTATTTTCAAGTAACTTTCTCAAAACGTTATGCTGGTCTTTTTAAAAAAGCGAGTGAGTTTTGTACTTTAACAGGGCCAGAAGCTGCAATTGTGGTTTTTTCTCCGGGCAACAAAGCTTACTCATTCGGTTGTCCGGTTGTGAGTGAAGTCAAAAGTATGAAAATGAAGCATCACATCTTGTCAACAGTTCAAGTACAGTAGAAGAGGCGCATCATAGGGCTAATATAATAATGGTCAATAATGAGTTTGAGGCACTACAAGCTCAGTTACACGATGCTAAGAAAAGGAGCGGCAAACTTGCAGAGATTGTAGAAGTCACGTCAAAGCGTTATTGGTGGCAAGTCCCTATAAATGAGCTTAATATAGAACAACGGGAGTGCTTGAAATTCTCCTATGTGGAGTTAGACAAGAAAGTTCAACTTCGTGCAACGGTTCCTGAACTTTTTGCAGATTCGATTTCTTTCGATAATCAAAATGCATCAGGATTTGGTAGAGCTAATGGTTTTCAATCTGATAAATTCTTCAACAACATGGGCTGTAGTGATGAATAGCTTTGAAATCTAAATTTACTTAGGTTTATGTTGGTTTTTGAGTATTTGGTTTTCTTTTTGTCCTTATGATGTTATGAATGGCTACGAATTTATTTACACATTAAGAACATTACAATTATCTTTTAGTGTTTCTTCCCATTTTTAATATTGGAAATTGTGATTCTTTTCAATTTATTAACACATTCTATTGCTGCAAGTTAAAGGCACTTTTAATGTTTTAGTTTTTTGTCATTGTCACTGTATCTTTGTTGTGTCAATGAAAATATTTCTTTTTTTTTTTGTTCAATTATTTTAATCTAACAACAAAGGCAAATAAGTATTTTCATATGCAAATCGTGTCGGTAACCATCCATCGTATTTATGTATCACCGTATCGGTATCGTTTTTCAATTTCTTTGGATGAGCATATTGTTATTGTTATTTTTAGTTCAATTGAAAAGTTCAAATGAATCCGGTAGTCCAAATTATGGACAAGTCAGCCATAACTATTATAGATAATCAACAAGCATCTAAAAAAAGGAAAAAAATAAATCTATTGAATTTAAGAAAAAATGGAGTCTCGTTTTTAACATATATGAGCACCATTTAGGCCCGAAAAATGATTTTTGGATAATTAATTAAGGATTTTGAACACTAAAAGTACTCTCCATTGACGAGAAGAATTAAAATGCTATATAGTACTGTATGCTATTCAAACTATAAAGAGGTCTTTAACAAACTAATATATTGCATCAAATATATTGTTAGAATTAGTTCAAATGTTTGTCTAAAGTACTAATAAGTGAAAACATGTTTTGACACGGATCAACTTAGTCATCACCTCTTCTTTTAACAACTAGGTAAAATAACATATTCATAACTTTAAAACTAGGTGCGAGATCATAAATAATAAAATAAAATAAAATACTGAATTTTTTTTTTTAGTATTTTGTAAATGAGTAACGGGGTGGAATCAAACCAACCCCGTCCCTTTGTAACTTTTGACAAGTTTACTTTTGTTCTTTAGAGAAAATATATTGAATTCGACATCTTACTCTATTCTAAAAAATAAGGTTTCTCGCTCTACTTTTGGATGGACATCTCGATATTCCTGATTTTCTGTTCAGGATTGTCACCCTGAAGTTTTTTAGAGTGATTCACATCTTCAGTGATTTGTAGGTTAGAGGTGATTTATCTTCCTGTGTAAATTTCTGACCATTACAGTGCGTGTGAGTACCGTGCATTACTATTTTGTTTGTAATTAAAAGAGGATGGAGCTATGTTCAGGTTCCAACTAACACGAAAAATACTCAAGGGGTCTACCCAGAAGATTTTTTTTTGCGTCAGTCAGTGCTAAATGGTATAAGTGCACCCATGGGGTATACCCAAGGGATGGACACCTATACTATCTAGTTCCCTAGAGTCACTCCTCCCCAGATTATATTCCACTAATAAGAAAAAAAACAAAGGGCAGAGTATAATCTATCCCTAGGCATTTTACAAAAAAGGAATCCTGTCATAGTTCTAAGTTGACTAACTATTTTACAATAATACTTAGAAGTCTATTTAATTCTGAGATAGGAAACAAATTGCTTGTCTAAGCAAGATTTCCCTCTTACTGAGCTTGGAATAGTTGATGAACAATCATATTTCATTGTGATTCCTTCAGAAGCCTGCTTAGCAAAATCCTCTGTAACACTATTTGCCTCTCGAAAGACATGAATAATTCTTGAATTCGAGAGAGTCAGCATTTCCTTTATCTTTCGAGAAACATGATAGTATTTCCATGGGAAGTTCGTTCCTTTTTGAAGGTACAATTTGATGACCTTGTTGTCGTTTGCACTTCGACATGTCTCAGCCCTTATTCTGTACAAGATTTTAGGCCATGATATATTCCTGTAAGTTCCGCTTCTAGACTTGTTGCGATGGCCATATATTTGCTTTCACCTGCAATAATAATCTGGCGATCATCCCTCAAAGCATATCCCCAACCTGCTTCTCCTGGTTGTCCTAATGCAGACCCGTCTGTATTTAACACATACTCTCCTGGATTGGGCGGCTTCCATTTGACCATTTGGATCTTCTTTCTTCGTGGCCTTAGCACTTTTACATTGAAAAGTTCCTCCATTTCATTGTGTTCCACAAGAGACCTTGATTGAAGCTTATATATACTCAACAAATTTGAAATATTAGCATTAATATTCTTAACCAAAAAAACAAGGGAAAAAGAAATACCTTCATAAAGCATTTTATTCCGAAGTTTCCTTACTTCCCATAGTAAAAACAAAGGTGTCACCATTATAATTGATTTTTTCGCAGTTGTGAAATTCCGACAGATTGCCATGATTGTAACAGGCTCCACCATCTTGCATGATTATGAGAATAAGACCCCTAACTTTGCAGCAAAATGATGCCATACCATAGCTATTTGCAGACAACCATAAAAAATATGATCAATACTCCCCTCCACATTATGGCAAAAAAGACATTTAGATGGATAAACCATGAGGTTCATCTTCCTCAAGACTTCTGGAAAAGGGAGCAAGTGATTATAAAGCCTCCATACAAAAAAAGAAACTTCCAACGGAATAATTCTATTCCAAAAGTTGCTTAAGGGAGGAAAAACTTCTCTGGTTGCGAATTTCCTAGTAGGCGGATGCAATGTGAATTCTCCCGTTACCGATGGTGTCCACACAAGTCTATCCTGATCATCAGTGAAGAAAGGATCCATTTCGCGCAGCTTAGAGGCAGTTTAGGGTGGCAATAGTCCATCAAAAACCTGCAAGAAAAAAGATTTCGAGCGAAAAAACTCACGAACCGTTAGGGTTGATGCTGGAGGCAAAAGCTCATCATTCCAGATTGTGGAGGTGGAAGTCCATCTATCGAACCAAAAGGAGGATGATCCATTTCGAATTTTGATTTTCATTCTGAGCAACGCAAGCTGGTTTACTCGATGAATTCTGGACCAGGTTGTTTTTTTGCTTTGCCGTGTTTGATAAGGAGCCAATAAAACGCACGCACCCAAATCCCTTTTGAATTAGCCACCTTCCACCACAGTTTTAAAGAGAAAGCTTGCATGACATCTCACATACTCCTAATGTTCAGACCATTTTCCGCGTCTGGAGCAGTTAAATGACACCAAGCACGCCAATGCTTCTTGTTACCTTCTTCATTCTCACCCTATAGGAAAGTTTGGCATTCACATTCTAGGGCTGATATAATTGTTTTTGTTGGTTCAAATGTAGCCATTGTATGGATTGGTAATGCTGAGAGCACATGTCAAAGTAAAATCAACTTCCCCCCTTGCGACAAAAATTTAGGGGTTGCTTGGTTTGAGGGTTTCAATCCAAGTCTATACCTTTCAATCCATTTAATGCTGCTTGGTTGATAAGGAATGAATCAAACATAGTGTTTTTGTAGGATATGAAACCCAATAATTCATTCCACGAAAATTTGGAGGGTTTGAAGAAATTAATCACTATAAAAAAAGTTTCCTCCCTTTGCCCCTATTTTTTCTCAACATTTTCCCACGGTGCTGCTCCAGCCTCCAGGTTTCTTCTTCTTCATCAAAATTTTATCCTCCTCAATCTTAAATCAACATGCTTCTGGTATTTTTATCTTCATCATAATTTTTTCTTATTCGATAAATCTTCACACTAAATCGACGAGCAATAACAAATCGCCTCCATCAAACCCTCAAATCTCAAGTGAAAAAAATTTCCATCAATTGAATCCTAAATCACCAGGAAAAATCTGTTACCGTTGTTGCTAACCAACCCTCCACGGTCCCGAAAAGACATGTTTTTATGTTAATTAGATGATTATGATGATGAAATAAAGTAACAGATTTGGAATCTTTTCGGTTGTGTGGAAAATATTATTTGACTTAATTATTTGAGGAAGGAAATTAATGGTGGCTGGTGCATTGTTCGGTGATGGATGAGATGATGATCAGTAGTGTGAGTTTTTGTTGGGTGGCATTGAACTGGCGGAGGAGGTGTTTCAATTGGGAGGCGAGGCGAGAAAATGGAATCGGCGAGGAGGAAATAACAGGGCTAAAAATGACATTTCCAGTTAATTTCCATTTCAATGTATTTTTGAACCAAGCAACTAAATCAGAGTTTTGATACCCATTTCATTCCTTATTTCTATGACTCCCATTGAAAACTGTCATTCCGTTCTTGAACCAGGCACCTTTTTATTCTTCCGGTTTAATAGCTTTGCATCAAAAGCATCCAACAGATGGCTGAAATACTCATTCTTTTTCCTCCCTTTGAAGAGCTTACAACCCAAGTAGGTGAAGGGTAGGCTCCCTTGCGGCATTTGAAGTGATTGAGACACCAACTGCACATGTTCGGTTGTAATGTTTTCTGGAATGTAAATTCAACTCTTCTCCTTGTTTATCCGTTGTCCGGTGGCTGCTTCATAATCCTGCAAAAAAGAAATCAAATGCTGCATAGAAAGCTTTAACCCTTTCACTTTCAGCCGGCGCCCCATATGGTGCAATCTTTCCTTCCTCTGCGAGCCTCTTTAAATTTCTAGTAAGTGCCTCCGACAACAAGATAAAAAAATAAGGCGAAAGAGGATCGCCTTGCTTGATTCCTTGAGATGCCTGTAAAAACCATATTGGACTTCCGTTTAAGAGAATAGAAAACTAACTTTGTTCTAAATTAGAGATGACCAAGTTCACAAAATGCTCATGAAAACCAAACTTCAACAGAATACGTCGAAATAAGCTCCAAGAGACTTGATCAAATGCCTTCATCATATCAAGCTTTAAAATAAGATTTCTACCTTGGCCTGGATGATCCATGAATTGGAGATGATCTTTTGTCATGAGGATGTTGTCAACTATGTCTCTTCCCTCCAAAAAAGCAGATTGCTCTTCTGAAATCAAACAAGGGAGGACCCTCTTTAAACGCTCCGTTAACAGCTTTGTGAAGATTTTATTGAGAAAATTACATAAGCTGATTAGACGAAAGTCGGCGAAGGATGTGGCAGTAGCTTTTTTAGGAATCTGG